TCTTTTCTGTAGAGGTGATGGTCTAATACTGGGTCAACTTCCTGAGGGCATGATTATAAGAATGGAGAAATGAGAGTCCTAGGATTGAGCCTTGGGAAAATTGTTTTGGGAGGTGGGTAGAAGAAAGTGAGCCAGAATCACAGATAAAAGGAATGGTTAAAGAAGTGGGAGGAATGCAAATGTCTCAATAGCTAGGTTTCTTTTTTTTTTTTGCACTTTTTTTTTTTTTTAAAGAGAAAAAGAAGGGGAAAAAAAGAAAAAGAGGGAAAAAGGAATATTACTTCATTCCTAAAATGGATTTCAATAATGGCCGATCAATATTTTGAGTGTTTAAAGTGGTTAATGCATATTTTATGTGTTTAAAATGGAGACCTCTATTGTGTTTATTTGTTCTGGCTCTGAGTTCAAGTCCTGGATATCGTTATCAATTTGTTGTCTTGTTGAATCTAAATCTCATTATGTGTCTTATGTATCTGGGTGTTAAGATCTCTTATTGTTGCATTAATCCTTTTACCCTTGTATCCTTGTAGCTTTGAAATCTATTTTATTAAGTGTGAAAATTGCAACTCCTGCTTTTTATTTATTTATTTTTGCTCTCCATTTGGTTGGTGAGTTTTTTTCCATCCCCTTGTTTTGAGTCTTTGTATATCTTTAGATATATCGTTAGATTTTGTGGATAATGTATATTTCGTGTGTTTAAAATGGAGAGTTCTATTGAGTTTATTTGTTCTGGATCTTAGTTCCAGTCCCGGATATCGTTATCAATTTTCTGTCTCGTTGAATCTAAATCTCATTATGGGTCTTATGTATCTGGGTGTTAAGATCTCTTATTATTACATTAATCCTTTTACCCTTGTATCCTTGTAGCTTTGAAATCTATTTTGTCAAATGTGAAAATTGCAACTCCTGCTTTTTATTTATTTATTTTTGCTCTCCATTTGATTGGTACGTTTTTTTTTCCAACCCTTTATTTTGAGTCTAGGTATATCTTTGGATATACCGTTAGATTTTGTCTGTATCTTTTGATTGGGAGATTTGGTCGATTTAAATTTAGGGTTGCTGCCGTTTGATATTAACTGGCTATTTTGTCCTTTCGTTGATAAAAATTCTTCTTTATGTTAATGCTCTTTACTTTTTGGTGTATTTTTAGAAAGGGTCATACTGGTTGTTCCTTTCTGTGTATACTTCTTCTTTTAGAAGTTCTTGTAAAGCAGGCCTGGTGGTAATAAAATCTCTGAGTACTTGCTTGTTCCTAAAAGATTTTATTTTTCCTTCAAATTTAAAGCTTAAATTGGCAGGATATGAAATTCTGGGCTGAAAGTTCTGTTGATTAAGTATATTGAATATTGGTCCCCACTCTCTTCTAGCTTGTAGGGTTTCCATTGAGAGATCTGCTGTAAGCCTAATAGGCTTACCTTTATGGGTAACTTGATCTTTCTCTCTGGCTGCCCTTAATATTTTCTCCTTCGTTTCGATCTTGGTGAATCTAACGATTATGTGCCTTGGGGTTGGTCTTCTTGAGGAATATCTTTGTGGTGTTCTCTGTATTGCCTGGGGTTGAATAGTGTCCTGCTTTGCTAAATTAGGAAAATTTTCCTGGATAATGTTCTGGAGAGTATTTTCCAGCTTGAATTCATTCTCTCCGTCACATTCAGGTACACCAATCAAGCGTATATTAGGTCTTTTCACATAGTCCCATATTGCTTGGAGACTTTGCTCATTCCTTTTTATCCTTTTTTCTCTATTCTTGTCTTGTTGTTTTGTTTCATTAAGTTGATCTTCGACCTCTGATACCCTTTCTTCTGCTTGATCCATTCGGCTGTTTAATCTTGTACATATTTCACTAAGTTCTTGTGTTGTATTTTTCAACTCCATAAGTTCATTTGTATTCCTCTCTATATTGGCTATTCTTTTCAACATTTCATCTAACCTTTTTTCCAAGTTCTTAGTTTCTTTACATTGGGTTAGAACAAGTTCCTTTAACTCCCAGAAGTTTCTTATCATCCACCTTTTAAAGCCTACTTCAGATAATGGAACACAGTCCTTTTCCATCAGGGCTTATTCTGTTACTGATGAGTCCTTTTCCATCAGGGCTTGTTCGGTTGCTGATGAGTCCTTTTCCATCAGGGCTTGTTCCGTTGCTGATGGGTTCTGATTTTGAGTATACTCAGCCTTCTTAGGCTGTTTTTTTCCCTTCATTGTAGATAAACCGCCTTTCTAATTAGGTTTCGGAGTGGACGTCCGACTTATTGATTCCCAGTGCTGGGATCCGAGCAACCCACTGTGGCGGCCTAAATAGCAGTGATAAGACTGATGGTGCTCTTCTCCCCGGGAATCTCTGGTCTGGCTTCCCTCTTGAGTCCGCAACAAGCGGCTCTGACTTCCCGGAGCTCCAAACTCTGGTCAGTAGGGGAAGCAGTCACGTTGGCTCTGCATGAAGAGCTGCTGCGCCGAGACGCCTGCAAAACCGCTGTGGCGGCCACAAGAGTCGCGCTGGCGACCCGTGGGGCTCCTCCACTGGGAATCGGCTGATCGGTGAGTGACGAAAATTCGTCTAAAAGTGTGGCGTCGTCTCGTTCTCTGGGCTTTCACTGGGAGCTACAATCCTGAGCTGTTAGTGGTCGGCCATCTTGGATCGATCCAATAGCTAGGTTTCAAGGAGAGAGAATGGTCTATGATATAGAGAAGTCAAGAAAAATGAAATATGAGAAAAAGACCCTTGGACTTAGTAAAGTGAAAATCACTTAGGAGTAAAAGTTTTTGCAAGTTTTGGTAAAATGATAGAATGGAATTCAGAATTCAGAGAGGTGGAAGAAAATAATGGATGCTGAGGAAATGGGAATGAGTCAAACTAATACAGAATTATTGAGCTCTTAACAGTGATCATGGCATTATGCCTATAGTGTTGTGAACTTAATTATTACTGTCCTGTAGGAGTATCAAACCAAGCTGAGACTATAAGGAATCCATAAAAATATTCATTGCAGTAAATTCAGAAGATGTCATAAGGTAGAACCATGATTAATGTTTAATGCATGATATGGACAATAAAAGTATACTTGTTTAGAGTGCAATGAGGATGCTTTGGTTTGGAGTTCTCTGGGAAAGCTCTTGTCTGTTCCTGCTTCCTCTTGTCTACCCATCCTCTTTTTTTTTTTAGACAGAGTTTTGCTTTTGTTGCCCAGGCTGGAGTATAGTGGTGCAATCTCAGCTCATTGCAACCTGCACGTCCTGGTTTCAGGCAATTCTCCTGCGTCAGCCTCCCTAGTAGCTGGGATTATAGACATGTGCCACCACGCCTGGCTAATTTTGTATTTTTAGTAGAGATGAGGTTTCTCCATGTTAGTCAGACTGGTCTCGAACTCCCGACCTCCGGTAATCCACCCACCTCTGTCTCCCAAAGTGCTGGGATTACAGGCGAGAGCCACTGTGCCTGGCCTATCCATCTTCTTTTAGGATAAGGGCTTCCGATTTCCCGTGACTTAGGAAACAGAATTAAGACTCATTCATTGAAGATCAGAAAGGCCTGTGTACAGTCTGGAAAAGTAACATGTGCCACTTAAAAAGACAAGCATTTGTGATAGGCAGTTAAGCTCTTCTAGTCTGCTCCAGAAGTCTCACACAAAGTGGGTTGTTTTAACAGTAAGAATTAGGGGTTATGTGGGGCACATGAGCAGTTGTGGAGAGTCAGGACTCCTGTACTGATGGGAAGAATAGAGCTATTGGAGGCCCTACTTAAGTATAGGATTTTAGCTGAATGTGGAACAGACAGGCATCTTTAGTAGTTCACGGCTTTGAAGCTACTTAGTATGGAAGAAGTAGAGCTCATGGTGATTTTGTTTTTACTTTCACTGAGGTCTGTGGTAATGTTGGCTTTTCATATCCTCAGTTACTATCTTCATGTTGAAAGGAGAAGTACTCTTTTTGTTTCCCCTATTAGTCATTAAGGCTAAAGTTAGTTAGGCCGAGCATAAAAAGGAGTGCAGGCTCAGAACTGGCTGTTAGAAAAATACATGACCGTCTCCGCAAGGCTAGTACAGAGTGTATCATTTTTCCTTTGTAAGTGTTGTATTAACTTGTGTTTGGGTTTTAAGAGGAGAATAAGTGGCCTCCATTAAATCCTGCTGCTAGATAAAACTGGTCTCAAAGCAGATAATTCTCAGTCTTCTAAGTAGGACCGTGTTTGCCTAGCAGTGTGATGCAGTGCTTTCCTCTCAAAGAAAATAATCATACGATTGTCCTTGAGTCTCATGTTATTTTTGCACATATTTGCCAGAGCCACACAGCTAAGTTGGGATTCAAACCAGGTTTTCCAAAATGTCGAGCTTGAGCACTGTGCTTCAAGAATTGCACAGAATGCAATCAGAAGTCTGGATGGTTTTAGTTATAGTGCTTCCATTAACTGGCAGTCTGAATATATAAACAATATTTCTCCTCTGTGGACCCCAGTTTCTCTAGTCTAGATGATTGAATTTTCAAAATTACTCACCTCTGAAATTTTAGAATATATCCTTATACCTGCACAGGTAAATTTAGCCTGGTGATTCTAGTAGCATAAATTTTCCCTGGTTGAGGCTAATGGCCCAGAACATCTTCCTTTGATGACCTTGCTTCAGAGAAAAGTGGCTTGTAGTAAATGGAGTAATGTGAGTAACAGTGAAATTGTTAGGTGATTAGAGAATCAGGGCATTGAGATACACTGAAAAAACACTGAACTGAAAGCTGAGACATCTGGGGTCTTGTCCTAGTATTGACATTAACTAATTTCGGGACCTTGGGCAATCAATCTATTCTGGGCTTTAGTTTTCCCATTTATAAAATCAAAACATTGAACTAACATCTCTGGTTCCCAGCTATGCAGTTTGAGGATCAATTCCTAGAATAATTATCTGCTGCAGTTGCACTTTCTATTCTAGTATCCAGACAGACCATAGTGATGTTTATGCCCATTGCCTAGGAGTATTTACCACTAAATGGTTGGACTGTCTGATATTTCTAAGCAGAGCACAGACTGTGACTTCTGACCAAGAGAAACGGTTGCTGCATCAGCTCCGAGAAATCACCAGGGTCATGAAAGAAGGAAAATTCATTGACAGATTTTCTCCAGAGAAAGAAGCTGAGGAGGCTCCTTACATGGAGGACTGGGAAGGTAAACAGTGTCTTCTCATTTCTTTCTTAACTGTCAGCCCAGAAAAGAGATCTTACAGATTTTTTAAAAATCAGCTTCATTAGAGATAGGCAATGGGGAGGAAGGCAGCAAGTCACACTGCCATGTGTGTACCTATGCAACAATCTTGCATGTTCTTCACATGTACCCCAAAAACTAAAATGCAATAAAAAAATCAGCTTCATTATTGAGGCATAATATGTAAACAGTAATATTCACCAGTTTTGAATGTACAGTTGGATGAGTTTTGACAAATAGAGTTTGTGTAATCACACCATAATTTTGATAAAGAACATTTCTGTCACCCCAGAAAGCTCCCTACTCTTTGCACCTCTGCCCTTCTTCTGCCCCTGGTGACAACTGAAGTGCTTTCTGTTCCTTTTCTACATAAGTGCATCGTACTGCATACGCTCATTGGCTTCTTTGATTTAGCATAATACTTTTGACATTCATGTTTGTTATTGAGTGTATCTGTACTTTTTTTCTTTCTGAGTAGTAGTAGTCAGTTATATGCTTGTACCATAATTTGTTTGTTCATTCACCAGTTGAGGAACATTTGGGTTGTTCCTAGCTTTGCATTCTTATGACTCAGGCAGCTATAACTTTTGCATATGAGTCTTTGTTTGAACATATATTTGTATTCTTTTGGCTCTATACCTAGGAGTGACATTTCTGGGTTTAAGGTAATTGTATATTTAACTTTTTTTTTCTTGCCACAGTCTCACTTTGTCACCCAGGCTGGAGTGCAGCAGCACAAACTCAGCTCACTGCAACCTTTGCCTCCTGGGTTCAAGGGATTCTCCTGCCTCAGCCTCCCATGTAGCTGTGATTACAGGTGCCTGCCACTACACCCAGCTAATTTTTGTATTTTTAGTAGTTATGGGGTTTCACCATGTTGGCCAGGCTGGTCTCAAACTCCTGACCTCTAGTGATCCTCCTGCCTTGACTTCCCAAAGTGTTGGGATTACAGGTGTGAGCCACCATGCCTGGCCGCATGTTTAACTTTTTAGAAACTGTCAACCTGCTTTCCTAAGCTCTACTTTTTCTCTTCACACCAGCAGTGTATGGCAATCGAAGTTACTCCACATCCTTGTTAACACTTGGTATTGTCAGTCTTTTTAATTTTAGCCATTCTAGTGAGTGTAAAATGATATCTTAATTGTGACTTTAATTTACCTTTCTCCAATGACTAATAATGAACATTTTTTCATGTGCTTACTTGCCACCTGTGTATCTTTGAAGTGTCTGTTCAGATCATTTGCCAATTTTTAAATTGGGTTGATTAGGTTCTTGTTGGGTCACAAGAGTTCTTTATATATTCTGGGTATAAGTTCTTTATCAGTTACACATTTTGCAAATGTTTTTTCCTAGTCTGTAGCTTGTTTTATATTTTCTTAACAGCATCTTTCAGACGAGATCGGGCGCGTTCAGGGTGGTATGGCCGTAGAACAGCATCACAGCATCTTTCAAAGAGCAGACGTTTTAAATTTTGATAAAGTTCAATTTATTATTTTTTAGTTGAAATTATTATGATTTACATTGTTTATGTTCTGTTTAAGAAATCTTTGGCTAACCCAAGGTTTGCCTAACTTCTGTGTTTTCTAGAAATTTTATGGTTTTAGCTTTTACATTTAGGCCTGTGATCTAATTTGAGTTAACCTTTATAGATACTATCAGGACTGAGGTTTATTTTTTTCCATATTAAATACCCAATTGTCCAGCTTCTTTTGTTACATTTAATTAGCTTGGCATGTGCTTGAAAACCAGTTGACCATGCATATGCTTGTCTGTTCTGGGCTGTTCTGTTCCATTGATCTGTATGTCTCTACTTGTACCAATATCACATGGTCATTATTACTGTGTCTTTATAGTAAGTCATGATTTTGGGTAGTTCAAGTTGTTCAGATTTTTTTCTCCAAAATTATTTTGGCTATTCTCTGTCCTTCTCATTTTCATATAAATTTGTAATCAGTGTATCAGTTTTTATAAAGAAGCCTGATGGGATTTTGATTGGCACTGCTTTGAATCTTTGTATCAGTTTGGAAGAATTGATACAGTAACAATATCGAATCTTCTAATTCATGAATGTGTTATATCTCACCATTTATTTAGCTCTTTTAGAAGTTCTCTCAGCAGTGTGTTGTAGTTTCCAGTGTATAGGTCTTACATATGTGAGGGATATTGGTCTGTGATTTTCTTTACCTGTAATGTCTTTTGTTGTGATTTCAGGGTAATGCTGACCTTATAAAATGCTTTGGGATGTGTTCCTTCTTCTGTTTTCTGGAAAAGTTTCTGTAGAGTTGCTGTTATTTATTCCATAAAAGTTATGTGGAATTCTCCAAAGATACTATCTTGGTCTGGATCCCTCCCTCCTTCCCTCCCTTCCTCCCTTTTTCTTTCTTTTTTTTTTTTTTTTTGACAGAGTCTTGCTCTGTTACCCGGGCCCCGGGCTGGAGTACAGTGGCACATGATCATGGCTTACTGTAGCCTTGATCTCCTAGGCTCAAGCAACCCTGCCACCTCAGCCTCCTTAGTAGCTGAGCCTACAGGCATGTTAGCCTATAGGCTAATTTTTTAATTTTTAATTTTTTTAATTTTAAAAAATTAGCCAGGCATGGTGGTACATGGTCTTGAATTGTTCTTAAGCAGTCTTCTCGTCTTGGCCTCCCAAATGCTGGGATTATAGGCATGAGCCACTGCACCCAGTTGGCCTGGAGTTTTTTTGTGGGAAGACATCTACGAATTTAATGTGTTTTATGGATATGGTGTCATTCAGGTCATTCACTTCTTGAATGAACTTCGATAGTTTGTTCCTTTCAAGGAATTTACATAGTTCATCCATATTGTCAATTTAATTAGTATAAAGTTGTTCATTATATAGTCTAATTATCCATTTAATGTATGTAAGATCTATAGGAGTGTACTCTCTTCGATTCTCGATACTGGTAATTTGTTTCTTTTCCTGATCAAGCTGGTCAAAGGTTTATTAACCTTGTTGGTCTTTTCAAATAACTATATTTTGGTTTCTTTTGTTATTGTTGTTTCTTATTTCATTGACTTGTGTTTCTTTGTTTCTTGTACTTTTGGTTAAATTTGCCTTTTTCTTGTTTTTCAAGGAAAAAACTTAGATCCACGATCTATTTTTTTTGGCCATTATTTTATTAACGGTCTTTGTCTTTGTGTCTCTCACTTATCTCCTTCTGGCTCTCCAGTTGCATGTATGTTTGATATTGCTCCACAGGTCATGTAAGGTCTGTTCTGTATTTTTCAGGGTTTTTTTTTCTTACTATGCTTAGTTTTGAGTAGTTTTTTTTGCTATGTCTTCATGTTTATTGATGTCTTCTATAGCATCTAACCCACTATTAATTTTATTTAGTGGTGTTTTTTTTTTTGAGACGAAGTTTCGCTCTTGTTACCCAGGCTGGAGTGCAATGGCACGATCTTGGCTCACCGCAACCTCCGCCTCCTGGGTTCAGGCAATTCTCCTGCCTCAGCCTCCCGAGTAGCTGGGATTACAGGCACGCGCCACCATACCCTGCTAATTTTCTGTATTTTTAGTAAAGACGGGGTTTCACCATGTTGACCAGGATGGTCTCAATCTCTTGACCTCGTGATCCACCTGCCTCGGCCTTCCAAAGTGCTGGGATTACAGGCGTGAGCCACCGCACCCAGCCTATTCAGTGTTTTTTAATTTCAAATATTATCATCTCTAGAAGTTTCTTTTAGGTCTTTTTTATATCTCTCATTTATTCACATTTTACTCTCTTAAACATATGAGGTATATCCGTAGTAGCTTTTTTGACCATTTTAATTGCTAATTTCATCATCCATGCCATTTTTGGGAATGTTTCTGTTGACTAAATTTTTTGCTGGTAATGGGTCCTAATTTCCTTTTTTTTTTTTTTTTGCATACCTGGTAAGTTTTGATTGGATGATGGGTATTACAAATTTTACATTGCTAGGTGCCTGATTTCGTTTTAGTACTTTAAATAATGGATTTCATTAGGTAAGCAGTTAGGTTAGCAGAAATTAGTTGAATCCTTTAAGGCTTTAACATTTACCCTATTTTGTTCTGTCATTCTAGAATTCCAGTAATTCTGAGATTGGATATTGTTGATCAGTTTGCCATACAGCTTAAATTTTCATTTCTTTATCATTCTATCTTTGTGCTGGGAGAATTCCTCAACTTAGACTTTTTTTTTTTTTTTTTTTTTGAGACGGAGTTTCGCTCTTGTTACCCAGGCTGGAGTGCAATGGCGCGATCTCGGCTCACTGCAACCTCCGCCTCCTGGGTTCAGGCAATTCTCTTGCCTCAGCCTCCTGAGTAGCTGGGATTACAGGCACACCCCACCATGCCCAGCTAATTTTTTGTATCTATAGTAGAGACGGGGTTTCACCATGTTGACCAGGATGATCTTGATCTCTTGACCTCGTGATCCACCCGCCTCGGCCTCCCTAAGTGCTGGGATTACAGGCTTGAGCCACCAAGCCCGGCCATAACTTAGACTTTTAATATACTAATTTGGACCATGTCCATTTCAATCTGTTATTTACTTTCTTTCTTTTTTATTTTTATTTTTTGAGACGGAGTCTCACTGTCTTCCAGGCTGGAATGCAATGGCGTAATCTCACCTCACTTCAACCTTCTGCCACCTGGGTTCAAGCGATTCTGGTACCTCAGCTTCCTAAGTAGCTGGGACTACAGGCACGCGCCACCACTCCCGGCTAACTTTTTTTTTATTTTTAGTAGAGTTGGGGTTTCACCATGTTGGTCAGGCTGGTCTTGAACTCTTGACCTCAGGTTATCTGCCTGCCTCGCCCCCCCAAAGTGTTAGGATTACAGGCGTGAGCCACTGCCCCTGGCCCAATCTGCTATTTTCTTGCAGAGCATTAATTTTTTTTAACTATTATGGCTTTCTATTCAATAGCTCATTTTTATTTCTTGTTTGCTCCTTTTTAAAATTGAAGACTGGCTAGGTTTT